GTGTAGTGCTCGTAGAACAACTTCCAACTGCAGTGCTGTGGTTTTCATACACGCGTGTGCATGAAATTGGTGTGTTTTGTGACTGGAAGTATGGAATGGTTACATGTAGTTCGAGTGAAGAAAAACAAACGTGCTCAGTTGAATTATACAAACACATCTTCTGACAGATGAAGGACTTTTGCAGAGTTAGTCGCATGGGAACGAGCTTGTCAGCTCGAATGCTGCCTTTCATCTAAATGAAACTGCAAAAAACCCCACCCTTACTTCAGACATCTTCTGACATCTTCTGAAATAACAAAATTATGTTGAATGTTCTGAAATAGAGTAAGAAATGAAGTCAAGAACGGGGGTCACAAAGATCTAAAGAAGAAGGAGGGAAGTTGAAAGAATCCACAAACTGGAACATTCTGACATCTGCGGGCAGAGCATTCCATAGAGAGTTGCGATAAAATGCATTGCGCGTTGGCCAGAGGGCCCTCGGAGAAATGGAACACGTAATAACATATTTTGTGAAAATATTATCCTGTAAAAGAATAGGAATGTAAACAATATACCTGTGAAAACACAACCTTTAATGCTACTAACACAACCTGTGACTACAATAATCATGAGATCAACCCCGAAACATTTCTTGCAGTTTACTTTCGTAGAGTTTGCAACGTTGTGTTCCTCAACACAACTTGCAGCTTTCTTCAAAAATATCCTCAACCTTGGTTCTATCCTAGATCGTATATACATGCATTCATTGTTTCGTCTCATCATTATGGAGCAGCTTATGCGAAGGCTAGCCAAGCTTGCTTGGCGATGCCAACGCGGAAAAGCCTATAATAATAATGCAGGGACTGTGCAGGGAGGAGACCTGGCTATTGTGCAGCAGGAGGCTATACAAGGTTCGATTAAAATACTAAGAACTATCCTTAACATGTAGATGCACCTCTGCTGCGTTTGCATGTTCAATAGCTAAGAGACTTGAATAACGACTGATAAAGACTGATATTTCCTTTGTTACTCCCTTCATTGGTTGATGTATTTTGCCTGTCGCTGCAAATTCTTTATTATTGTTTTGATGTTGGAGTTCGGATTGAGTTTCTTTCCTTTCTTCCTCTTCCTTCAACTGTTTCTTGTCCCTTTGGTTTTTAGGTTATATTTATTCATTTATTTTTGTTTGTTTTTTCACTTTCTTTTTGCTGTCCCACCCATGGAAATATTTCCCGGTGGGTCTGGCTTATCGCCTTCGAAAGAAGTGAATAAAGGAGAGATAATAATAATAATAATAATAATAATAATAATAATAATAATGCATTGGAGGAGGATTGGCCACGGGTGAAGTTGGTCGCTGCTCCTGTAAGGGAACACTGCAATCACGTATGGGAAATACCGGTTATGTTGAAAATCCGAACAGGCATTCATTTACATGTAGGCAGCGAGAAAAGCAAAGACTAAGACTTTCTGGAGGTAAATATGTTCAAGAGGCAAGACGGACATTCTCGGTGACTTCGGTGCCGTCAAACCGGTTTGAGTGTTCGACTGGTTGGTTGTAAAACTGCCAAAAACTCAGTAGAAAAAGTACCCGTTTAGCTGTAGAGGTTGCGCTTGTCTTCATTTCATTCCATTTTTAGCTCATCATGTGCATGTTGAGGTTGCGCTTATGTGTATTTCGCCCGTACAAGAGGCGGTACGCTTTCCAACGGCCAAAGAGAGTTGGAAAGCTTGTGTCTTTGTGGGTAACTTACTTGAACATTTGGGGCTCATGTAAAATCGCACTGATTTTGGAATTTCCCTGCAACTTTTTGCTTCAGCAAAAATGTTGTGCTTGACCGCATTCCTAGATCCTGTCACTTCGCAGCGGCTTTTCGTTGGTGCAGTTTGCATTGCCGAGCCACCGTGCTGACAGCAGAGACTTCTGTGTGTGTATTGTCGTGAAAGTGGACCACAAAGACGGGTGGGTGCACTGTTTTCAAAAAATAAAAAAGTACCCGCGCAACCTTTACACAACTAACGGCAGTTATCCTTTATCTTTTCAAAACTGGTTAATCGGACTAACTGTTTGAGCCCTAGCGTTCGTGGATGAACAGGCCAATGTGTAGGCATGAAAATTGGTGTGTTGGTTGGTTTTTATTTCACTACGCACATTCAAACGGGATGACGACCCAATAAAATGACGGCGAAGGCTTAGCCTAGAAGTGGCTAGTATGGAAGAACATAGTAAAGGCTATGGAGGCATAGTAAGAGAATAGGATACTAATAACTGCGAGTAAACGGAGGGGGGGGGGGAGAGAGAGAGAGAGAGAGAATACGATGTATCTGTGATACTATCTGTGATACTACGTGAGGATTACTGAACTGCACGGGGAGAGAGAGCAGAGCGATCAGCAGCAACTAGAACTACTCCCTACAGGCGTATAGGACACATGCATGCTTAAACTCAGGTAGCCGGGTAATTGTGCGGACCTTACCAGGGAGAGCGTTCCACAGCAGAGCACCAGCAACAGAAGATCTCCGCTGACCGCGGCGGCTACGGTTTGCCTGGCTTAGTAGGCCATTTGACTGCTGATGGCGGGTAGGGGTGCCTTGCGCCGGGGTCAGAAGCTGGGTGAGAACAGGACTGGTGCGGGCGTGGATGCACCGCCAGATGGCGATCAATATTAATTTTTCTGCCTGTAGAGCTCGCTGACACGGTACAGTGAGCAGTGAGCAGCGGCTGCATGGCTGTCCGGGGTGGGTTGCCATCGATACAGCGGATGGCTCTGTTTTGCGCGGTTTGCAGTTGTTTCAGTTGACCCTCTCGCATTGCAGCTGAAAAGCAGCAGGAGCCATAATATTTTGGCATAAAGCAGGTCGGGCCTTATGACCGCCTTCACATACACCTGACGAGAGTGTCTTGATAGGCTTCGGCGTGCCCGCCACAGGGCGCCAATTTTCTTGGCAAGCTTGGTGGCCACATAGTTTACATGGGTGTCCCAATCTAGGCGATTGTGTGTTGGCTTGCTGTTGCTGTTGTTGCGACCAAGCCGCTGTCTTTCCGTCTGATATCTGAATATGCGTGCCCCTGTGCATATGGGGTCAGCTTCTGTAAGTCCCTGAAAGGCGACTGGGTCGGCAGTGTAGCCTCGGTACCGGTACTTCTTGCTGGATTTGTAAAAATAAACACGTGCTTAATTTTATCTTGGAGAAGTGTTGGAGCTAGGTGTCAGGTCGCCGAATGTCTCAGTACTCCTTGTCAGTTTTGTGCCATTTTGTCGCACTCGCTGACTGTATTAGTTCTGGTTACGTTAGTGGACATGTCGACAGTTAGTCATACCGTATTATCTCTAATATAAGCACGGTCCTTTATTTTTTCAATGTACCTCCGCCCCGTGCTATTAATGGAGACGTTCCTTTATTGGAGACTGTTCCATTATTATTTCGACCTCATTTCAGAGGCATGTTGCCATGCCAAATTTATATGTCAGACGCACACATTTCAGGGTTTTTTCGCCGGTACAGATAATGAATTTCCACAGTGTGCTTATAATGGAGACTGAGCACTTTATTTTTTGAATGCCGCCCCAAGGTGTTCTATTATTGGAGACGTGCTATTATTGGAGACTGTGCTTATATTAGAGATAATACGGTAACTCGTAACATTTTGTCCTTCTTCTTTTCACGTGCTTAATCGTACATAATACGTCGCAGGCTTGCAGCTAAACTTTAGCAGGACTGGCTACAGCAGGGGTTAGGGCATTGTGCAGATTGATGTTCTAACGCGGCGAGGGTCTGAGTCTTCTTCTTTGAACCCGCACTGTTGGTTGGTTTTATTTCACTTCGCACATTCAAACGGGATGACGACCCAATAAAATGACGGCGAAGGCTTAGCCAAGAAGTGGCTGTGGAAGAACATAGTAAAAGCTATGGAAGCACATAGTAAGAGAATAGGATACTAATAACTGCGAGTAAACAAGGGGAGAGAGAGAATACGATGTATCTGTGATACTACGTGAGGATTACTGAACTGCACGGGGAGGGAGAGCAGAGCGATCAGCAGCAACTCGAACTACTTCCTACACTGGCTACAGGCGTATGGTACACATGCATGCTTATTGTAAATTCAGGTAGCCCGGTAATTGTGCGGACCTTACCAGGGAGAGCGTTCCACAGCAGAGCACCAGCAACAGAAAATCTCCGCTGACCGCGGCGGCTACGGTTTGCCTGGCTTAGTAGGCCATTTGACTGCTGATGGCGGGTAGGGGTGCCTTGTGCCGGGGTCAGGAGCTGGGCGAGCACAGGACTGGTGCGGGCGTGGATGCACCGCCAGATGGTGATCAATATTTTCTGTCTGTACTGAGGCTGTAGAGCTCGCTGACACGGTACACATGGTACAGGGAGTGAGCAGTGAGCAGCGGCTGCATGGCTGTCCGGGGCGGGTTGCCATCGATACAGCGGACACTGTTCATTCATACCGTGAATTCATGAAGTCATGGTATTGCAGTGCGGCGGACACTGAGCCAGACTGGCCCAGCGCCAAGCACACAGCAGCGCAGTGACTCGACACCATTGCGGCATTGGGCTCTGGGCTAGCGAAATGACAGTGAGATCTGTCCCAGGTGTCAACGTCGTGTCTCCTGCACACTCACCACACGTATGTCAATTGCCATGCTCCTGATGACAGGGAGGACGCAGCGCAGTTCTTCGCACCCTAGAATCCCCATCGCAAGAATGCCAAAGGTCTTCGCGCTGTATAACTAAAATCATTCCTACCATCGCCTGTGACGTTCACGATCTCTAGCTCGCTGTGGCCTTAGCCTTCTACGACATGAACTAATGAACCACGGGCTAGCTAGGGTAGGTTGCATGCTTTTTTCAAATATGTACACCACCAGGCGCCTGGGACTACAGAGGAGTCCTGGAAAGCTTACAAAGAAAACCGTATAAATACAGACAAACATCATCCAACTGAGCATCACTTCGACTTCGGGCGCCTGGCTATGGAGCAGCCTGGTGTGCATATTGTCACCCAGTTATCAATTTTAAAATTATTTCGAAGTACACCTCGAACTGATTGTACATGTTCCGGCCTGCCCACCGGATCATCCACCCCTTTTCCAGTTGTTCTGGTGAGTGAGTGCCTGATCCTCTCGGTTTCACTTGTCTTTTCGTGAATGCTGAATGCTACACCTGCAGCCATCACGCACTGGGGAGCTGTGAACGGAGGTGCAACCGAATCTTTTCATACACTCGTCTCACTTGGAGTACAGACCTTTCTAGGCATCAGCGGAACCACTGCTATTCCATTTCTACCGGAGCCTGGCAGAGGGCGCACCTCCTCTCCCCTCGGAAACTGAGGTCACTTTCCAGCTGTTCACACTCACAGTAACCAGGCAACTGTTCAGAATGTACATGTGGCAAGTGCACGTCCCCGGCGGCGTGACATACGCGTACTTGTATGCCATGTTACTGCTCTGTCGACTAGCCTGTCTCTGCGCTGCCACGAAAAGTGTGCATGTAGACGGCGTGCGTTTCGACAAGCGTACCAAGTCTTACTCATTGGATGTCCTGGTGGAAGCAGACGTCAGCCCCGTTTCGCCGAGACCGGCGAAGGGTTGCAATACTAGTAGCAGCCGTCGATTCCTGGACAATCTCGTCCAGGCGTTCAGCGATGCGTCGGAAGTCATGAAGGAGGCTACCGCCCGGCACGCAAACATCAGCGAGGTTCGCGTCTTTCTGCCGCGCCACTGGCCTCGAGACGGAATACCTCACGGCCGGGTTCCGCTTCAGTGCCGACCTGAAAAACAAGATGCTAAGGTTTCTATTGTAATAAAAAAGGAAAGTCAAGTATACGTTTCTAACCCTTATCCAAGGTGTGGAGTCCCATTCATGGGCAATATGTACCTATCGTGGGGAAACTTCTCCGGATACCAGGTAAGCGACAGTACTAAAATACTACTACTTCGAAGTAATACCAAAAGCTTTTTTGGTAGCTCTGTTCTTTCAAGCGAATCTCCTACTCAGGCAGTCACTCGGAGTAGCGAAACACGTGATATGCCGGCTAGGAATTGCACATTGTTACACAATACTCAATCTTCAAAGAAAGCTACAGGTTCTGCCACTATACATACCACCACGCTAGCTGTAAATCTACCATGTGTACAGTAAAATAAATATTCAGTACAGTCATGTCTGTCAACAGTTTCCTCTGAGACAAAAATGCGAAAATACTCATAAAAACGACACACTTCAGGCTCATTACTTTCAAGATGTTCGTAATGTACTAATGAGCCTGAAGTGTGTCCTTTTTATGAGTGTTATTACATGTCTGTACTTATTATATAACCCAATACTAGTTCGTTGTCTGATGATTGGTTCAGCCATGAAACTCTGAGTCACAACGGAATTAATTTGCCAAGGTTTTCATTGTGTGCCTTTGTGTACGCCGCTCTGCCTGAATCAGGCATTGAGCACTCTTGCAGACCAAAGCATATTGCCTCTGTGCAGTTCAATACTAGTAATAGTATTTTCATGCTGTCAAACTAACAACATGTCTGTACATGTGCGTGCCTCGAGCATCTAGAGCCGTAAAAAACTTGAATCTGCATTATTTTTATAGCGGATGTACTGTATATTCCAGGTCAAATGCTGGATGGGTTAGGCTGTGTTTACATGAGGCGTTTCAACCCGGGTCGAGTTTCAACCCGCCATGAACACAGACTGACTGGCGCATTTACATGACGCATTGCGCTTGACTGGGGTTGAAATCGAGAAATCGTACTACTGTACTTCTGTGCGTATCTTGCGCCAGGTTTGAACAGCACTGCACAGGCAAAATTCATGCGAAAGCATTCACGTGACCATACAGCACTCTAGAAGTGGACTTTTGGCGGCATATCAGTATTCACTTGTAACAGTTCAACACAGCCTAAATGCGGCAATAATATAATTATAGTTATATCCAGGATACTGAAGTTTCACTGCACATGAAAGCAGACATTTTGTTGTGTGCACTGTGATCATGGTGCTAGTCAGTTTCTACGTGTTACTTGTACAAACACTAAGAGGACGGAAAAAGTGTTTTAACTCTGAGTTTCACGCACTGAGTGATCATCAAGGAGTAAATCTGGATCTGTACTGGTTTACATTCCTACAAACTTAAAGCAAAGTGTAAATGATTGCATCATGGTGCAACTCTAAATGGTGCGAATGACAGCAGTGCAACGTGTCAATGACAGCATCGTGGCGCAAATCTAAAAGGTGCGAATGACAGCAGTGGTGAAAGGTATCACCTCAAGTGACAAGCACTGGAGCTAGTTGTCTCCAACTTGATTAGGTGATGGCTGTGCATGGTTTGAAGTTCCGAAGGTAGTACTTATTCTCGTTACTTGTACACTGTCACCATCTACAGGCCTGTCCCAAAGACACAACCTTGTCTCGCATTCTTGTTCACGAGTTTGCTCATCTACGCTGGGGAGTTTATGACGAGTACACTAGGACCTCCGGGCCACTGTGCCCTCACGGAGCAAAAGGCAACGGACCCTGGTCTCTCATGGCCAGCACGAGCAATAAGGTGAGTAGGGTTAGTTGGCCGTCAAAGTGTTGCACGCTCCCTAACAGGTGGACAAGCACTCATCAAGCTCTCATTTGGCACAAAATCCCCCCCCCCTGCATTTTCCAGGTTTCAAATGCAACAGTCTCTGCTTTTAGCCCATCATCATCATCATCACATTGAGCCCCTGCTCTAGCATGTGATGTGACGTAGGAACCTGGTCCATATAAGCACCAACCTGGTCCATATAAGCACCAACCTGCTAGGCTAGGGGTGTGCGTGTGCTCAATGCTCATGATGATTGCTGAAACAATGAGCTTGTAGATCACAAGCTGAGTGCAGCAGGATTGCGGCAATAGATCATCATTAGTTTCCTGTGCAAACAATGACCATTCGGGCTATAGTGCTCGTGTTACTTCTCTTGCGAAGCAACCTCTTCATACATGTACATGGATGCTATAGCTAGCTTTACTGGTCATCTCCAATCAAGCCGCGGTCTTGCTCCGCGTGCTATTTTGACCTTGCTCCCGTTCCTGTTTGTTCTGCTCATTGCTCATACAGTCGGTGCTCTTCTGCAACCAGAGCAGCAGCGCATACGCCGTTCAGCACGATAGGAGCCAGGAAACTCCTCAAAATCGTGAATGCGGACACAAGAGCGCTTGGGAAGTTCTCATGAGTCACCCGGACTTCTCTAACTTTACTTGGCCCAAGGATGCGGCGCATCCTCGAGGCCGCGGGTTGAGACCTAAATTTCAAGTGAGTTGAAGACACTTTACAATAAAAAATTAGGAGGTTGATTTAAACCTCTCGAGTTTCATGAACCGTTTACAAAAAGTTTGAATGGACAAACTGCCTTTCTTCGGAACTAAACTCTCTCATTCAATATTGGCATTGCCTGCCACGAGATGATGATGCAATAAATAAATAAATAAATGGCATTGGTCACAGGTTATTCTTGCCCGCTTTTACAGTATTCATATTTCTTGCTTATCTCATACAATAATTATTCATATGCCTGAAGGCCTATTCCACGGGACATTCGAGGCGGAGTGTTTCATTTGCAACCCAGTTGTAATGTCCACTACTTTTCTAACTTGCAACCTTGCTAATAGGGTTTAGATCCCATCCTGTAGTTAAAGGTTTCCTCTTTCACTTCTAATTTTCTTTTAAGTTTCTACTTAACTGACATAGGTCGAGAAATTAGTCTAGCATAGCCTAGCATAGCCTAGCACAGCATAGCATAGCCTAGCCTAGCATAGCATAGCATAGTATAGCATAGCCTAGCATAGCCTAGCATACTCGGCATAGCATAGCCTAGCATAGCCTAGCACAGCATAGCATAGCCTAGCACAGCCTAGCATAGCATAGCATAGCATAGCCTAGCATAGCATAGCCTAGCATAGCCTAGCATTGTGCACCGCGGCTAGCTACAATGCCCTTGGTGTGCTGGTTGTCATTTCGCTTTTCCAAACTCTGCCGTATCTCTGTTGCTTGTGTCCTGCCCCCATGCAGTTTATTATGCCATGCAGCCGTCAATCTACAGTGTTTGTAATGGACGTGTCACCCAGCGTATCACCAACGTTCCTACGGAAATCTCAGGCCATTGTCAACAACTATCTCGAGTACATGTCGGCGTACTCCAATGTGGCCCTGTTGACTTACGGTAGCGGGGGCAATGCGAGTGCCGCTGGCTGGAAGAGCACGCGAGAGCCAGCACTGACAATAGCCAGTAGAGGCGGCGTGCGGTCCTTGAATAGAGCTCTCCAACGGTTAGACACACGAGAGGCAGCAGGCGACTACCCAAGCCTGAAGGCAGCATGGGATGTCGCTGAACGACTTATCTCAGGCCATGCACCTGATTATGACTATCGGCATACCAGAAAATTCTGCGCAGCGAACAATATAGTATCTAAGCTGAACAAGGTAGTCATACTCAGTGAAGCACCAAGGTTACCCACCATGCACAGACCGCCTTCTAGAACGGAGGTCCTCTTCACCAGCGAGACAGGCAAAGAACTGTTCAGAAAACGGAACCGTAGTAGCCGGCCCTGCAGGAGTCATCGGCAGGACTTGATCTTCGCCTGCTCACGCAATGACGATCTCGGGCGCTGTGCCAGTGACTTTCTCTTCAATGCGACAAGCCTGGCGTTGGACAAGTCCCACAACGTCACAGACGGCGACCGCGCTATCACCGGCCGCCTTGACGTACGCAGCGCTCTCTTCCACAAGAAACAAGTAACCAAGCTACGTTTCATGATGGTGTTATCCGGGCCCACAAAAAACAACAGAACTCCGTATGATGGTATGAATGCACGTACGGGAGCTTGCGAGTTGAACTACGTCATCAACCTGACCTTCCCAAATCATGAGCGGCGGGCGCTAAGCGGCAATTTCTGCTCAAACAGACGAGTGAAGCAGTTTGGGGTGAGTAAATCATATTGCCATGATCATCAAGCTAAGCTTCTGGACCATCTGCATTCCAAGGTTTACATGGAGTGAGGTGACATTGCTCAGTTCCCCTCATACTTTTACTAGCACTTGTGTTGGAGCAACTGTGGGTAGTGTCATATGAAAAGTGGCGTGTGCAGGAATATGACAGTGTTGTGCTTGCCTGACGGCATTATTAGTTCCTATTGTAAAAGCTTGCTGTATATACATGTGTGTATGTGTGTGTATGTGTGTGTGTGTGTGTGTGTGTGTGTGTCTGTGTGTGTGTCTGTGTGTGCGTGTGTCTGTGTGTGCGTGTGTCTGTGTGTGTGTGTCTGTGATGTCCTTTGCTGTAGGTACCGGCCACATTGCAAAGTGCCTTTGTCACTGTTCACCTACCTCATACAGTCGGTTTGGACTTCCGGCTGGAAGTTTACGTCAAGCGCAAGTTCAAGTGAGCCGGCCCAACTTCACTCCCCGCAGTGCCCTGGTGTGGAGCCGCATTGCTCACACTGCCAGCGACGATGGCCATCCATGCCGGTGGGAGCGTACCAGCTACGCATTACACACCGTGTTCTGCAGACCCATGGCCCTGCGGATGGCATCCAAGTCTCAAGCCAGCGTACGTAATGGTGCATGTGGAGAGTGCAGAGTGCCAACGTATGGACACATTATCACATGGTGCCATGGTTCACCAAGGCCACGGAGAATGCACTAGCCTCTGAGAGACGTGCAAGACACTGCAGTTACTGACTAAGACCATGTACGGAAATGCGTCTGCAGATGCAAGTGTGCGCAACAGTGCTGATAGTGTGAATCAACGTAGACTTTGGGTACTGGATTAACCCAGCTTACTTACTGAAAAAACGGTTGAAGGTGGAAATCCTAGCTAATACTATACTTACTGCATGTACATCTCACCATGATGGCCATTCAGACAACCAAGATTTCTAAAATCTACTTGCCTATGCATGTAGGTGAACACACGCTGTATGACCGAGCTTGTCAGCTCCCCAGAACCTGCAACATAGCCCAGTGTGTGTGTGTGTGTGTGTGTGTGTGTATGTGTGTGAGTGTGTATGTGTGTGTGTGTGCGCACGCCCGTGCGTGTGTGCGTGTGTGCTCGTATGGTATGTCTATGTGTGTGCGGACACAAGCCGTCGGAAACTCTGCTCTCACTTTGAACTATGTCAACTCTATCGGGCACACTTGAGTATGCCTCAGCTCAATATTAATCTATATGTACATGCTTCCTTCTGGCCTGTGCCTGACTTCACCTGTTGAGATTGCTGTTTACTCTACGCTACATGTAGTCTGGCATACATGAACTTGACATGACTGTACAGAACTGATCTGCTCCTAACAGTCATCCTATAGCCGTATGCGAACTCCACATGATGCTTGTAATGCTTGTGCTGTAGTGCTTCTATGCACAAGTATCTGCAAATAAGCTTGACTGAAGCATTTTGCGGAGCATTAGGCAGCTTTGAACTACCTTTCTTGAGTATCATTATTCATTATGCCTGAGAATGCCCTTGACCCAACACAACGCATTAAATTGGTTTGAACGTTAGTGATGGCATTTGATGAATGCATTGTAAGCTTCTTGCTGTCCCCCAATTTAAGATCAGAGAGTTGAAAACTCTCTCCTTTTCTCTAGACAACATGAACACTTTCCAGGGGCGTCGGACACGGTACGGTCACTACCGTATTGACCGTACCACTTTTTTCGCCAGGTACCCTGTGAATCAATAAAATACACTGATCTGGGATCTAAATTTCCAGAATATTCGGCTCAGCCACCGCTCCCCCACGAGTGAAATGTACTTCAGATGGCTGACCGTACCACACTAAATAAAAATACCTTCGGACGCCTCTGCTTTCAACATTCTGGTCGGTCAGGCCGGGACCTGACGTCATGACCGACCGGACAGGGTAAACCGTTTTTTGTTGTTGCTGCATTACTTTTCATTTCCGGGGAAATATCCCATTCAGTGGCTGCACCACCTGAAATCCCGGTGTTACGGCCCTTATAGGGCTTGAAAGTGCTACGTCACAGCATAGCAACAATTTCATGGATCCAAGCACATTTCAAGCCGTCTTACTCACAGCAAGGTGATGTAGCCAGTGAAACTGACTGATTTGGCTACTGGTGGCGAAGTAAAAGTCACCCCTGCATACGAGTGGGTTGCTATGCACCCACATACTGAGGCCATAGCAAAGTCACACCTTAGTGGATCCAAAATAGAAATCTGATGTCAACTTACTACTCCCTGGCCGTTTTGACGTCATCACTTTCAAGCCGGCCTTGCGCCTATTCCTCAGATTGCTATGGCAAACCAAGTCAACGCTATGGTGATACTTGCTTCCCATTCTCTCGCAGCCTTAGCCCTACTACCTGTACGTAGATCTTCATCTGTCAGGCTATTAGTATGTATGTATTACTGCACAAGGACCAGTGCAATACCGGCCGATATCTGCACGAACGGCGAAGCCGTAAGTGCAGATATCGACGCCGGTATTGCACGCGTCCGAGTGCAGTAATAGAGAGGTTAAGTTGCACGTTTTTTGCACTTTTTCAAAACGCGGTGCAAATCTCTCGTTACGTGCAATTTTTAGAGGTTAAGTTACACGTGCGACGTGACGTGAAATTTTGCCTGGCAGGATTCGGGTTTAGTTCGCACAAATATCAAAATTTCCAACAAACTCGATACAACTCGATAAAATTCCGGAAACTGACACAAATTCGATCGGGATAACCAAGCGAAACTTCCAAAAACCCACGTCATGAACTTACGTGCGGGACAGTCAACTCACGTAAAACACGTCAAATTTTACGTGAGTTTTTTGACTTTTTGACGTAAAAGTGCACGGACGTAAGAATTTTACGTGAAACTTAACCTCTCTAATACATTTATCGCACCCCGGCCACCACACAGTCTGTCACCACACACTTGTGTGTGTGACTTGACACGGTCTGGTGCAACCCTAGCATGCTGCATGCAACCCTGCTATCATTAAAGGGGAAGTATACCCTAAAATCAAATTTTCACCAGTTGTAGTCTTCTGGGTGCTGAGTCGAATGGTCTTGGTCCGAGGAAGCTGCGACGCTCCCTTCCTACTTGAATCCCAATCGAACTCGCGCACTTCCACCGAAACTGGGTGACTGCGCCCTACTAGATGGGGATTTGTATGCAAAATGTCACTAAAAGCGCCATTTCGTTCTTATAAAAGCACGGATGACCGCGATTGGCCCATATGTTGTAGTCTTTTGGACGCTGAGTCGACTGGTTTTGGTCCGAAAAGGCTGCGATGCAGCGTTCCTCCTTTATTCCCAATCGAACATGGTTGAACAAGCGGTCACGTGCTCCTGGGTGCCCAAATCACCTGGTCACCGCGCCAGCAGGCGACAACTTTCACACCAAGGTTCAACTCGAGTTCAACTCGAGTGACAGGACTGCACCCAAAAAAGGTCAAACAGGCTAGTAAGTTGTACCCTGCAGGCACGGTGACCAGCTGACTGGTGTACGCAGGAGCACGTGACCGCTTCTTCAACCATGTTCGATTGGGAATAAAGGAGGAACGCTGCATCGCAGCCTTTTCGGACCAAAACCAGTCGACTCAGCGTCCAAAAGACTACAACATATGGGCCAATCGCGGTCATCCGTGCTTTTATAAGAACGAAATGGCGCTTTTAGTGACATTTTGCATACAAATCCCCATCTAGTAGGGCGCAGTCACCCAGTTTCGGTGGAAGTGCGCGAGTTCGATTGGGATTCAAGTAGGAAGGGAGCGCCGCAGCTTCCTCGGACCAAGACCATTCGACTCAGCACCCAGAAGACTACAACTGGTGAAAATTAAAGGGGAAGTATACCCTAAAATCAAATTTTCACCAGTTGTAGTCTTCTGGGTGCTGAGTCGAATGGTCTTGGTCCGAGGAAGCTGCGACGCTCCCTTCCCACTTGAATCCCAATCGAACTCGCGCACTTCCACCGAAACTGGGTGACTGCGCCCTACTAGATGGGGATTTGTATGCAAAATGTCACTAAAAGCGCCATTTCGTTCTTATAAAAGCACGGATGACCGCCATTGGCCCATATGTTGTAGTCTTTTGGACGCTGAGTTGACTGGTTTTGCCTTGGTCCGAAAAGGCTGCGATGCAGCGTTCCTCCTATATTCCCAATCGAACATGGTTGAACAAGCGGTCACGTGCTCCTGGGTGCCCAAATCACCTGGTCACCGCGCCAGCAGGCGACAACTTTCACACCAAGGTTCAACTCGAGTGACAGGACTGCACCCAAAAAAGGTCAAACAGGCTAGTAAGTTGTACCCTGCAGGCACGGTGACCAGGTGACTGGTGTACGCAGGAGCACGTGACCGCTTGTTCAACCATGTTCGATTGGGAATAAAGGAGGAACGCTGCATCGCAGCCTTTTCGGACCAAAACCAGTCGACTCAGCGTCCAAAAGACTACAACATATGGGCCAATGGCGGTCATCCGTGCTTTTATAAGAACGAAATGGCGCTTTTAGTGACATTTTGCATACAAATCCCCATCTAGTAGGGCGCAGTCACCCAGTTTCGGTGGAAGTGCGCGAGTTCGATTGGGATTCAAGTAGGAAGGGAGCGTCTCAGCTTCCTCGGACCAAGACCATTCGACTCAGCACCCCGAAGACTACAACTGGTGAAAATTTGATTTTAGGGTATACTTCCCCTTTAATTATTTTCACAGTCATACAACACAGCACAACCAGTCGCGTTCATTTTTAGAGGAACACTTCTTTCGAGCAGCTGCTGTATACACTCCCGGGAGATCATGGAAGTAGCGGGACAGCTTGCTCATGTCGTCGTCGTTGATGGGGTGTTTGTGCTCCACCGCTTTGACTTCTCCCCGCTTTCTTTGACTTCAGGAGGAAAGCCTTCAATGCAATGTTTGCGTCCTTGAACGCTGGGTCACTGTGGACGTTCATGAGCCGCTTCAACTCGACTAGCTTGCGATGTATTGCGGAACGGAAACCGAGCAAGCTTGATGCAGAGTAGAACTTCACTCCAGCTTTCTTCGGACGGAATTCGACGTATGCATGTCGCAGAATGTAAGCTAGGTCGCTTGCCGTAACCGTACTCAGGTCACAGCGACGTCCTGTGTCTTTACAGTACTCGTCGAATAAGCGGAGCCATTTGTCAGTTGCCTGCTCTGTGTTTTTGTTTTTCTGCTCAGAAACGAGGCTGTCGATGGCGGCGTCGGACAGTTTCTCAAATCGGCTGTCGACAGTCTTCTCCAATACTTGGGCGTCTGCTGTCTCGACTCTCACGGAGCTTGTGAAGTTGACTTGGCGGACGCAAGCCGGGTCCACATTCGCTTCCGCGACAGCGTCCTCGACTATATGATGATTATTATTTGGTGTGCTGCAGCAAGTCAGCAGCGACTGCTTGGCGGAGCGACTCGCAATATTCCCCAGTACACCGCCAGCCAATGACCAGATCAGAGGACAATGTGGATGCACTGCAGTGCGATATTGCACCCCGGCGAGTGAGCGTGCAAATAACCTATATCTGCACGCTCACTTCGAAGCGAGCGTGCAAATAACCTATATTTGCACGCTCACTTCGAAGCGAGCGTGCAAATAACCTATATTTGCACGCTCGCTTCGAAGTGAGCGTGCAAATAACCTATATTTGCACGCTCACTTCGAAGTGAGCGTGCAAATATAGGTTATTTGCACGCTCACTCGCCGGGGTGCAATATCGCACTGCAGTGCATCCACATTGGCTGGCGGTGTACTGGGGAATATTGCACGCTCAGTAAGGCCGCTGATTGGCTCAAACCATGGAAACACTCACGTGGGGTGCGATAATAATTATTATTCTAGATGTAGTAGTACCATGCCTACCCGCGAACAGCCTGGGGAATCCAATACAATACAAATAATACAATACTACCGGTAATACTAATAGTAATAGTAATACCCAGTACTAGTAGGTCTACCCACACTAACTAGCCGTTGGTGCAAAAGGTAAGTAAAATACTTTAGAAGACACGATAGAAAGAAGAAAGAAGACTGTATAATCAATTGCTTGTATGCTTGTATTGTATGCTTGGTGCGAACCATTAGTTTGTGACAATACTCTTATATTATTCATGCAATCTCTAACAAGCATGCAATATCTAACAAGCATGCACTATCTGACAAGCATGCATTATCTAACATAACAAGCATGCAATATCTGATAAGCATGCACTATCTGACAAGCATGCACTATCTGACAAGCATGCAATATTCCACACAATCATGACGCCGCCGAGGGCAGCTTGCTCCATTCTGTGCTGGGCAATCCTGAACTCGCTACTGCAACGACTAGCTATAATATCTAGCGCCCGTAGAATAGACTCGTAGATCTACGGAGTCGTAGTTGAGACCAGGAGACCTGTACTCAGTACGATTATAGTTTAGTTCTGACCACTGTCAAAATGATTATGCACTTCAAGCACATTGTAATGTCTTCCTTTGTTGGGCTCTTGACACGTGTGTTCGAT